TGGGATACGATGACATGTAATTAACCATGTAACCGAGCCGCCCCGATCCAATGTGCCGCCTCTCAGACAAGCACAGGTTGCTGTGGTCCTGTATTCTCACCAGGTTTCCACACGGGTCGGGCAGGACTATGTGGCGATACCCATGAGAACGACACTGCCAAACACAGGACCATAACCGGGTCAAATCTGGGATTCTAATACATGACTAGCGGATCCTATTTCGTCAAAGGGACGCAACTCACTACAACTAAGGAAGTGATAAGGGGCAGTGTAGTAGTGTACTGGTCTAAGATGCGTGAAGCTAATTTGTGGTGCTCCCCGTGTGATGCTGCCGAAATATTGCTAACATCGACGTACGTATGTCCATACATAGCCCCTCGACCGTAAAAGCATAGATCAAAGTATTTAAAATAAGGTAATGCGGATAACTGTAGCATTTGATAAGAACCACAAACAGTAATATGTACAGAATAATGAGCAACACATACATTTCCATTTTTAAAATAGTCCCTGGTTTTTAGCAATGATATGTTTTGTCACATGAGTTACATGAAAAGGAAGTTTGAGCAGTCATATATTGGTATAGGTACCGTATTCGACTAGCGCCTAGGGCTTAGAAATAGGGGGCTCTTGTTAGAATAGTATTTTGGTGAAACAAAACAAAGATGAAAGATAAATTTCGCGGTGTACATTGATCAATCGGAAGGGGTGCTAATTGGGATTGTTCACTAGCCAATATATTAACAAATATCGCCGTGGGCGCTTATTACGTCGAATAGGGTAATTTGTTTAGGGACCGGCAATGTATAGTATAAGGGAGTAAGTAGGGAGGGGTGGTGTGATTGGCCACATTGAAAAACATGAACATGTAACATCTTCTCATCACTAGCACCCCGCCCACATGTAACATCTTCTCATCACTAGCACCCCCGCCCACATGTAACATCTTCTCATCACTAGCACCCCGCCCACATGTAACATCTTCTCATCACTAGCACCCCGCCCACATGTAACATCTTCTCATCACTAGCACCCCGCCCACATGTAACATCTTCTCATCACTAGCACCCCGCCCACATGTAACATCTTCTCATCACTAGCACCCCGCCCACATGTAACATCTTCTCATCACTAGCACCCCGCCCACATGTAACATCTTCTCATCACTAGCACCCCGCCCACATGTAACATCTTCTCATCACTAGTACCCCGCCCACATGTAACATCTTCTCATCACTAGTACCCCGCCCACATGTAACATCTTCTCATCACTAGTACCCCGCCCACATGTAACATCTTCTCATCACTAGCACCCCGCCCACATGTAACATCTTCTCATCACTAGCACCCCGCCCACATGTAACATCTTCTCATCACTAGCACCCCGCCCACATGTAACATCATATCATCACTAGCACCCCGCCCACATGTAACATCTTCTCATCACTAGCACCCCGCCCACATGTAACATCTTCTCATCACTAGCACCCCGCCCACATGTAACATCATATCATCACTAGCACCCCGCCCACATGTAACATCTTCTCATCACTAGCACCCCGCCCACATGTAACATCTTCTCATCACTAGCACCCCGCCCACATGTAACATCTTCTCATCACTAGCACCCCGCCCACATGTAACATCTTCTCATCACTAGCACCCCCGCCCACATGTAACATCTTCTCATCACTAGCACCCCGCCCACATGTAACATCTTCTCATCACTAGCACCCCGCCCACATGTAACATCTTCTCATCACTAGCACCCCGCCCACATGTAACATCTTCTCATCACTAGCACCCCGCCCACATGTAACATCTTCTCATCACTAGCACCCCCGCCCACATGTAACATCTTCTCATCACTAGCACCCCGCCCACATGTAACATCTTCTCATCACTAGCACCCCGCCCACATGTAACATCTTCTCATCACTAGTACCCCGCCCACATGTAACATCTTCTCATCACTAGTACCCCGCCCACATGTAACATCTTCTCATCACTAGTACCCCGCCCACATGTAACATCTTCTCATCACTAGCACCCCGCCCACATGTAACATCTTCTCATCACTAGCACCCCGCCCACATGTAACATCTTCTCATCACTAGCACCCCGCCCACATGTAACATCATATCATCACTAGCACCCCGCCCACATGTAACATCTTCTCATCACTAGCACCCCGCCCACATGTAACATCTTCTCATCACTAGCACCCCGCCCACATGTAACATCATATCATCACTAGCACCCCGCCCACATGTAACATCTTCTCATCACTAGCACCCCCGCCCACATGTAACATCTTCTCATCACTAGCACCCCGCCCACATGTAACATCATATCATCACTAGCACCCCGCCCACATGTAACATCTTCTCATCACTAGCACCCCGCCCACATGTAACATCTTCTCATCACTAGTACCCCGCCCACATGTAACATCTTCTCATCACTAGCACCCCGCCCACATGTAACATCTTCTCATCACTAGCACCCCGCCCACATGTAACATCTTCTCATCACTAGCACCCCGCCCACATGTAACATCTTCTCATCACTAGCACCCCGCCCACATGTAACATCTTCTCATCACTAGTACCCCGCCCACATGTAACATCTTCTCATCACTAGCACCCCGCCCACATGTAACATCTTCTCATCACTAGTACCCCGCCCACATGTAACATCTTCTCATCACTAGCACCCCGCCCACATGTAACATCTTCTCATCACTAGCATCCCGCCCACATGTAACATCTTCTCATCACTAGCACCCCGCCCACATGTAACATCTTCTCATCACTAGCACCCCGCCCACATGTAACATCTTCTCATCACTAGCACCCCGCCCACATGTAACATCTTCTCATCACTAGCACCCCGCCCACATGTAACATCTTCTCATCACTAGTACCCCGCCCACATGTAACATCTTCTCATCACTAGCACCCCGCCCACATGTAACATCTTCTCATCACTAGCATCCCGCCCACATGTAACATCTTCTCATCACTAGCACTCCGCCCACATGTAACATCATATCATCACTAGCACCCCCGCCCACATGTAACATCTTCTCATCACTAGCACCCCGCCCACATGTAACATCTTCTCATCACTAGCACCCCGCCCACATGTAACATCTTCTCATCACTAGCACCCCGCCCACATGTAACATCTTCTCATCACTAGCACCCCGCCCACATGTAACATCTTCTCATCACTAGCACCCCGCCCACATGTAACATCTTCTCATCACTAGTACCCCGCCCACATGTAACATCTTCTCATCACTAGCACTCCGCCCACATGTAACATCTTCTCATCACTAGCACCCCGCCCACATGTAACATCTTCTCATCACTAGCATCCCGCCCACATGTAACATCTTCTCATCACTAGTACCCCGCCCACATGTAACATCTTCTCATCACTAGCACTCCGCCCACATGTAACATCTTCTCATCACTAGCACCCCGCCCACATGTAACATCATATCATCACTAGCACCCCGCCCACATGTAACATCTTCTCATCACTAGCACCCCGCCCACATGTAACATCTTCTCATCACTAGCACCCCGCCCACATGTAACATCTTCTCATCACTAGTACCCCGCCCACATGTAACATCTTCTCATCACTAGCATCCCGCCCACATGTAACATCTTCTCATCACTAGTACCCCGCCCACATGTAACATCTTCTCATCACTAGCACTCCGCCCACATGTAACATCTTCTCATCACTAGCACCCCGCCCACATGTAACATCATATCATCACTAGCACCCCGCCCACATGTAACATCTTCTCATCACTAGTACCCCGCCCACATGTAACATCTTCTCATCACTAGCACCCCGCCCACATGTAACATCTTCTCATCACTAGCACCCCGCCCACATGTAACATCTTCTCATCACTAGCACCCCGCCCACATGTAACATCTTCTCATCACTAGCACCCCGCCCACATGTAACATCTTCTCATCACTAGTACCCCGCCCACATGTAACATCTTCTCATCACTAGTACCCCGCCCACATGTAACATCTTCTCATCACTAGCACCCCGCCCACATGTAACATCTTCTCATCACTAGCACCCCGCCCACATGTAACATCTTCTCATCACTAGCACCCCGCCCACATGTAACATCTTCTCATCACTAGCACCCCGCCCACATGTAACATCTTCTCATCACTAGCACCCCGCCCACATGGAACATCTTCTCATCACTAGCACCCCGCCCACATGTAACATCTTCTCATCACTAGCACCCCCGCCCACATGTAACATCTTCTCATCACTGGCACCCCGCCCACATGTAACATCTTCTCATCACTAGCACCCCGCCCACATGTAACATCTTCTCATCACTAGCACCCCGCCCACATGTAACATCTTCTCATCACTAGCACCCCCGCCCACATGTAACATCTTCTCATCACTAGCACCCCGCCCACATGTTACATCTTCTCATCACTAGCACCCCGCCCACATGTAACATCTTCTCATCACTAGCACCCCCGCCCACATGCAAAATCAACAAATGACCAGTCCCCAAATAATGCTGAAATTTGTAACATTTGATTTGAACGAAAACAGAACTGTGTCATTTTCACTCACCAAAACCAAAATAGTAACTTTTCACTTTTGACTAATATCTGTTAAGCATTTATACCATATATACAAATATATCAATTTCTTACATGGACACAACTGACGGGTTCAAGTTTCACAAAACTAAGTAAGTTTATAGCTCTTATCGCGATGATAAGTGACAGCGCGCTCAAATTGTTGATCTTTAGCGGGAGTTTAGATACAAGTTTGAACGTCCCGTCCCTGTGTTTTGGTATGGCCTACTAGTGTCCACAGTGAAGAAACGAGTCGCGTTAGTGGTATCGGATATCTGCTTGTCTCACAACACGACAGCCGTGTCGTCTTCAGCATTACCCTGACAGGGATGTCTAGCGACAGTAACCTACCTGTCTGTCGTCCCCGTGATGTCGCGGCAAACAGATACTCTGCGTGGTATGCCGGCCCCGACACAGTAACGCGGGGTAATCTGCTGGCTGGGTAAGACAGCGTTCGCTGTTATTTGATCCCCTTGCTGTCTATCTCCCGATCGGATCACTATAGATCGATAGCAACCAATCACCTGTATCGATCTGTCGGGCGACGGTGGCGAAGTAGTACATTACACAGGGACGAAGGGACCACGTTGTGCGGTGGTAGTCTGTCTTGCGTACTTTTTTTTCTAATTTTCTTTCTTTTCTTTTTTTTTAAGGGATGGGGAGGCTGGTGGCGCGCGTGCGTGCGTGCGTGCGTCCGTGCGTGCGTGCGTGCATGTGTGTGTGTGTGTGTGTGTGTGTGTGAGTATGGCTTTTCGCCGCTTTTAGCAATATTCAAGCAATATCACGGCGGGGAACCCAAGAAATGGGCTTCACACATTGTAGCCATATGGAGAATCGAACCCGAAACGTTTTAACCACTAGGCTACCCCACCGCCCCGTCGTGTTTGTGTGTGTGTGTGTGTGTGTGTGTGTGTGTGTCTGTGTGTGTGTGTCTCTGTGTGTGTGTGTGTGTGTGTGTGTGTGTGTGTGTGTGTGTGTGTGTGTGTGTGTGTGTGTGTGTGTGTGTGTGTGTGTGTGTCTGTGTGTGTGCGTGCGCGTTGAATCAAGACATATAAGGAGTGATGATATTTAGATCGATGAGGTTCGGTTCTACCATTGCACACCACACGTTAGGCAACACTGGTGGCGGGAAGTAGGTGGATGGGTTTTTGTGCTCAGCAACTATGATTCCTTAGAGTGTCTACAGTTTCGGTCCTGTCCCACACTGAAGCACGTGTATCTCACGTGTGGACCAGTGATAATCATTATACATTATGTCTTTCACACAATAATAATAGTGTTTCGTAAACCTGTGACGTCATCATACCGTAGATGTAATAATTGTATTATTAATTGATCTGGGGACATGGAACAGTCTACTCAGTAAACCTGGTGTCTTGTTCAAAGTGTGAAGGGTACACCGGTGCCGAGGTGGCAAACGTCTGAGACCTGCATCACCTCGGGTTTTCCTCTTACAGAAGGCTTATGCGCCTGGTATAACTGGAGAAATATTTTCCATTAGCATGAGGATGAACAAGTTCATTAAGAACGGGGCGGTGGGGTAGCCTAGTGGGTGAGACGGCGAGTGAGAGTAGGAGTGAGTGAGTGAGACGGTGAGTGAGAGTAGACGTGACTGGGTGAGACGGTGAGGTGAGGTGAGGTGAAATTGGGTTTAACGTCGCGTCCAAGATTATTGCACTTATATAGCGACGTGCATGCACGTGTATGTGTGTGTGTGGCTGCTTGTACTAGTCCGGACTGATGCCGATTTATAGTGCTAGCTCACTGAGATACCATGCCGCAGTTTAACATGAATACCCCACTCAGACACAGTATACTGACTCCGAGCCGACCAGTCCTTGTTTTAGCCCCTTAATGCCGAGCGCCAGACAGGGTAACAACAAGTACAATCTTTTAACGTCTTTTTGTATGACGCGGCCCGGGATCGAACCCTGGACCTTCCGCTCTCCGGGCGGACGCTCTACCACTAGACCACTGAGGCGGTCGGGTGAGACGGTGAGTGAGAGTAGGAGTGAGTGGGTGAGACGGTGAGTGAGAGTAGGAGTGAGTGGGTGAGACGGCGAGTGAGAGTAGGAGTGAGTGGGTGAGACGGTGAGTGAGAGTAGGAGTGAGTGGGTGAGATGGTGAGTGAGAGTAGGAGTGAGTGGGTGAGACGGCGAGTGAGAGTAGGAGTGAGTGGGTGAGACGGTGAGTGAGAGTAGGAGTGAGTGGGTGAGACGGCGAGTGAGAGTAGGAGTGAGTGGGTGAGACGGCGAGTGAGAGTAGGAGTGAGTGGGTGAGACGGTGAGTGAGAGTAGACGTGACTGGGTGAGACGGTGAGTGAGAGTAGGAGTGAGTGGGTGAGACGGCGAGTGAGAGTAGGAGTGAGTGAGTGAAACGGTGAGTGAGAGTAGACGTGACTGGGTGAGACGGTGAGTGAGAGTAGGAGTGAGTGGGTGAGACGGTGAGTGAGAGTAGGAGTGAGTGGGTGAGACGGTGAGTGAGAGTAGGAGTGAGTGGGTGAGACGGTGAGTGAGAGTAGGAGTGAGTGGGTGAGACGGCGAGTGAGAGTAGGAGTGAGTGGATGCGACGGTGAGTGGGAGTAGGAGTGAGTGGGTGAGACGGTGAGTGAGAGTAGACGTGACTGGGTGAGACGGTGAGTGAGAGTAGGAGTGAGTGGGTGAGACGGCGAGTGAGAGTAGGAGTGAGTGAGTGAGACGGTGAGTGAGAGTAGACGTGACTGGGTGAGACGGTGAGTGAGAGTAGGAGTGAGTGGGTGAGACGGTGAGTGAGAGTAGGAGTGAGTGGGTGAGACGGCGAGTGAGAGTAGGAGTGAGTGGGTGAGACGGTGAGTGAGAGTAGAAGTGAGTGGGTGAGATGGTGAGTGAGAGTAGGAGTGAGTGGTTGAGACGGCGAGTGAGAGTAGGAGTGAGTGGGTGAGACGGTGAGTGAGAGTAGGAGTGAGTGGGTGAGACGGCGAGTGAGAGTAGGAGTGAGTGAGACGGTGAGTGAGAGTAGGAGTGAGTGAGTGAGTGAGACGGCGAGTGAGAGTAGGAGTGAGTGGGTGAGACGGCGAGTGAGAGTAGGAGTGAGTGGGTGAGTGAGACGGCGAGTGATTGTAGGAGTGAGTGAGTGAGTGAGACGGTGAGTGAGAGTAGGAGTGGGTGAGTGAGACGGTGAGTGAGAGTAGGAGTGAGTGGGTGAGTGAGACGGTGAGTGAGAGTAGGAGTGAGTGGGTGAGTGAGACGGTGAGTGAGAGTAGGAGTGACTGGGTGAGTGAGACGGTGAGTGAGAGTATTAGTGAGTGAGTGAGTGAGACGGCGAGTGATTGTAGGAGTGAGTGGGTGAGTGAGACGGCGAGTGAGAGTAGGAGTGAGTGAGTGAGATGGCGAGTGAGAGTAGGAGTGAGTGGGTGAGTGAGACGGTGAGTGAGAGTCGGAGTGAGTGAGTGAGTGAGACGGCGAGTGAGAGTAGGAGTGAGTGGGTGAGACGGCGAGTGAGAGTAGGAGTGAGTGGGTGAGTGAGACGGCGAGTGATTGTAGGAGTGAGTGAGTGAGTGAGACGGTGAGTGAGAGTAGGAGTGGGTGAGTGAGACGGCGAGTGAGAGTAGGAGTGAGTGAGTGAGACGGCGAGTGAGAGTAGGAGTGAGTGGGTGAGTGAGACGGTGAGTGAGAGTAGGAGTGAGTGGGTGAGTGAGACGGCGAGTGAGAGTAGGAGTGAGTGAGTGAGACGGCGAGTGAGAGTAGGAGTGAGTGAGTGAGACGGTGAGTGGGAGTAGGAGTGAGACGGTGAGTGAGACGGTGAGTAAGAGTAGGAGTGAGTGAGTGAGTGAGTCGGTGAGTAGGAGTAGGAGTGAGACGGTGAGTGAGACGGTGAGTAAGAGTAGGAGTGAGTGAGTGAGACGGTGAGTGGGAGTAGGAGTGAGACGGTGAGTGAGACGGTGAGTAAGAGTAGGAGTTAGTGAGTGAGACGGTGAGTGGGAGTAGGAGTGAGACGGTGAGTGAGAGTAGGAGTGAGTGAGTGAGTGAGTCGGTGAGTGGGAGTAGGAGTGAGACGGTGAGTGAGACGGTGAGTAAGAGTAGGAGTGAGTGAGTGAGACGGTGAGTGGGAGTAGGAGTGAGACGGTGAGTGAGACGGTGAGTAAGAGTAGGAGTTAGTGAGTGAGACGGTGAGTGGGAGTAGGAGTGAGACGGTGAGTAAGAGTAGGAGTGAGTGAGTGAGTGAGTCGGTGAGTGGGAGTAGGAGTGAGACGGTGAGTGAGACGGTGAGTAAGAGTAGGAGTGAGTGAGTGAGACGGTGAGTGGGAGTAGGAGTGAGACGGTGAGTGAGACGGTGAGTAAGAGTAGGAGTTAGTGAGTGAGACGGTGAGTGGGAGTAGGAGTGAGACGGTGAGTGAGAGTAGGAGTGAGTGAGTGAGTGAGTCGGTGAGTGGGAGTAGGAGTGAGACGGTGAGTGAGACGGTGAGTAAGAGTAGGAGTGAGTGAGTGAGACGGTGAGTGGGAGTAGGAGTGAGACGGTGACTGAGACGGTGAGTAAGAGTAGGAGTTAGTGAGTGAGACGGTGAGTGGGAGTAGGAGTGAGACGGTGAGTAAGAGTAGGAGTGAGTGAGTGAGTGAGTCGGTGAGTGGGAGTAGGAGTGAGACGGTGAGTGAGACGGTGAGTAAGAGTAGGAGTGAGTGAGTGAGACGGTGAGTGGGAGTAGGAGTGAGACGGTGAGTGAGACGGTGAGTAAGAGTAGGAGTGAGTGAGTGAGTGAGTCGGTGAGTGAGAGTAGGAGTGAGTGAGTGAGACGGCGAGTGAGAGTAGGAGTGGGTGAGTGAGACGGTGAGTCGGAGTAGGAGTGAGACGGTGAGTGAGACGGTGAGTAAGAGTAGGAGTGAGTGAGTGAGTGAGTGAGTCGGTGAGTGAGAGTAGGAGTGAGTGGGTGAGTGAGACGGCGAGTAAGAGTAGGAGTGGGTGAGTGACGGCGAGTGAGAGTAGGAGTGAGTGAGTGAGACGGCGAGTGAGAGTAGGAGTGAGTGAGTGAGACGGCGAGTGAGAGTAGGAGTGAGTGAGTGAGACGGCGAGTGAGAGTAGGAGTGAGACTGTGAGTGAGACGGCGAGTAAGAGTAGGAGTGAGTGAGTGAGTTAGTCGGTGAGTGAGAGTAGGAGTGAGTGGGTGAGTGAGACGGCGAGTAAGAGTAGGAGTTGGTGAGTGACGGCGAGTGAGAGTAGGAGTGAGTGAGTAAGACGGCGAGTGAGAGTAGGAGTGAGTGAGTGAGACGGCGAGTGAGAGTAGGAGTGAGTGAGTGAGACGGCGAGTGAGAGTAGGAGTGAGTGAGTGAGACGGCGATTTAGAGTAGGAGTGAGTGGGTGAGTGAGACGGCGAGTAAGAGTAGGAGTGAGTGAGTGAGACGGCGAGTGAGAGAAGGAGTGAGTGAGTGAGACGGCGAGTGAGAGTAGGAGTGAATGGGTGAGTGAGACGGTGAGTGAGAGTAGGAGTGAGTGGTGAGTGAGACGGCGAGTGAGAGTAGGAGTGAGTGAGTGAGACGGCGAGTGAGAGTAGGAGTGGGTGAGTGAGACGGTGAGTGGGAGTAGGAGTGAGACGGTGAGTGAGACGGTGAGTAAGAGTAGGAGTGAGTGAGTGAGTGAGTCGGTGAGTGAGAGTAGGAGTGAGTGGGTGAGTGAGACGGCGAGTAAGAGTAGGAGTGAGTGAGTGAGA